GGGTAGGTGATTTGGTTGGTTTTGGATTTTGAACTTTCCCCACCTCCACATGACTCTATCTTTCACTTACTGTGACTGAATAATAAGGGATATAATTTGTATGGTTATAAATGAGTAGAACCAAAAGAAGGTGGAGACAAGATTTTGTAACTATTTGTCTATTTTGATTGGTTGGGTTTTTGTTTGCAGGTTGATGGGGAAAGTTGCCTCTGATAAGTGTCATAAATGGGTTTTCAAGGAGCCTACTGAATGTGAACCAAATATATCTAACTACTGGCAGAGTTCCTTTGATGCTGTATGTTTAATAACAAGTTTACTTGCATTTAATTGTGGTTATAATTAGGGAACTGATTTTTCCATTTGTCAATTATTGGTCTAAGAAAGATTTATTGATTCCTCTTCCTTTGACCTAAAACCTCTGCAGCTCCCATCTGAGTGGACTGACCAGTTCGAGTCAGGGATTCAGGTCAGATTCAAAAGTCCAGAACAATAATTGCCTCTGTTTCTTATTTATGAAAAAAAAGAAATAGTCTTTTGCCTTTGGTTCTTGGCTTGTCTGTATGCCAATGTGTCTGTTCTGCTTTTATCTTGCGCAGACTATTGCTGTAATTCAGGCCGGACATGGCCTACTGCAACTGGGATCCTGCAAAATTGTGAGACTCATTTTCTCATTGCCGAAAAAAGTTCATCTTTTTATTCTTTATTTTTTTGTATTTTAGTTGTTAATATCTTTGTATCTCTCTGGACATGAGATTACTGCTCTACAAAATAGATAAAAGACTCACTACCAAAACAATTAGTCATCAACTTTTTATGAATCTTTTAACACTATTAAATAGTGATTCAGCGCATAGAAGCTAAACTCATTATCTAATTTGGATATGCATGTTTTATCCTCCTCAGATACCGGAAGACCTCCATTTCGTGCTAAGAATGAGGCACACATTTGAGTCTCTAGGCTATCAATCAGGCTTCTATCTGTCGCAGCTATTTTCTTCGACAAGGACCGGTTCACCTTCATCCACAATGCCTCTTAAGCAGCCAACTATGCCAATCAGGCCTCCTCCTCCCCTTTTCAACTGGGGGCCGAGGCCAATGCCTTCAGTGTCATCACTGCTTTCCTCTCCAAACTTCCAAAACTCTGCAAGACTTGGAATGCATCATCAGTCCAAAGATGAATCGCAAATGTTCCTTCATCCTCATTCATCCGAAGCTCGAATGGATGATCACATGATGGGAGCTGAGCATGAGAATGATATCAAATGGCCTAATGGATTGACTTTCTTCAGTGCTCTCACTGGCCGAAGTGACGATTCTAGGATTCTGTTCAATCCTGATAACTTAGGAACTAAACCGGAGCATAATCAGCACCCACTTAGTCTTGATGGGAGGACTTCAAATCCAAATTCAGATGCTTCAAGTTTGCACAATAATGGTAGTGCTAATCCGAACGATTTCTTGAGCTTGGATGGCCACACGGATAGTGTTCGGAAGATGGACAAGTTCAAGAGGAGCCTTACTCTGCCTGTTAGGATGGCATCGTCTTCTAATTCATCGACTTCACATGATCAGCACCAAAATAATCCAGGAGAATATAGGAATGAAGGAGGAATGTACCCTGATGTCATGGACAGATTCTTGGAATGATGTTTCCTTGGTTTATGCTGGAGAAGTTGTACTTAGGAGAAAGCTTTAGTTCTGTTTTTCTGCTCATAGGTTATGTGCTTTGCTTAATTTAGTGCTGTTGTAATAGTTTGGCTTTCCTTCATCCTTTTAACAGTTGGACGTTTCCACAGTTTCTTGTAGTCTTTTTGATCAGTTCATCCAGAAATGAAGGAAAATTTATGCTTCTCTCTGGATTTCTGCATGAGTTAATTTGAAGAATATGGATGCCTAGTAGATATAAAATTATGTATGTTGCTCAAATCTTTAAAAAATCCCGCCACAGCAGTAAGATTGGCGGCATTTTTTGAGAATCCGAACAACATAGATTAATTAGTTCAAGGTTAAGTTCAGGATTTTTATGCTTGCTTAGTGTTAACTACTACATCTATGGATCAACTTTTGAAAATTAGGTGCGATGACAAATAGATAAAGTCTTATTCACATTTGGTGTGCATTAAGGGGAACCAAATATTCGCAGTGCTTATATCGTAATTTTAAGCTTTAAGATTTATCTGGATTCTGGATTAGTAATCTATGTGAAGATCTACAACAGCAACACTTCCAGGATAATCCAACTACAAATGAAAAAGTAAAGCGCATTATGTTCATTCCACTTCCAATTAGATGTATTGGGCAACGTTAGATATTGGTCTCTTTATATATATCTAGTACTAATTCTGTCCGAAGCTGTATGACACTTATTTATCTAGGGAATTAATCAATTTTAGAAGGTAAATGGAATATATATATATATATAAAACTAAAATGAATATTGTTAGTTCATAGTCGCAAAGTTTTTACATATACAAACAGTAAGAGATAACATTTTAAGATGGAAGCAACTTATGTGAAATGACAATTCCAGTTTCCACTGTCAGAACGAATAACGATCAGCTGATTAAACGATGAGACGAAAACTCCTACCTTTTCCTCTCGTTGATGCTTTGAGCGGAGGACCCATTTGTATGGTATTTCAACAAATCATTAGGAATTTATAAGATAGTGATAATGAAGTATACTCCACAACTTATTTTTTCCCTTTTCTTTCCACAGTTTGACAAGAGAAGAGTGTGTTGCTCTGGTCGTGAACACCCTCCACTTCCAATCAAGAGATTGTGAGTTCGAGTCACGCTAAGAGCAAGGTGGGGAGTTCTTAGAGGGAGGGAGCCGAGGGTCTGTCGGAAACATACTTTCTACCCCAGGGTAGGGGTAAGGTCTGCGTACACACTACTCTCCCCAAATCTCCATTAATGAGATTATACTGGATTGTTCTTGTTGTTGTTTTCACTGTTTGACAAGGAGTGGCTTAGGTGTCTGTCATGGGGTATATTTTGAGAGGCGGGAAGATGAGAAGAGAGTAGCTTTTGGTCGCGAATTGATTCTGAATCTTCTTTTCCCTTTTATTTTTGCCTTGGGACGGATGACGAGTCGACTAGAATCCAAAGATAGGAACTCACCTTCTTTTTCCTTTTAGTTTTTAACCCGATTAATTTAGATTCGAGCAAGGTTAAACTTAATAAAGGAAAAAAAATAGTCTTTACCAAAAGAATTTTATTTTAAAAGTTCAAATTTTAAACTTTTAATTGTGGAGGGATCCTATTTATCCAAACACAGTATTTGGCACACCTACTAAATATAGTAATACTCATTGACTAATTAATAAGTTCAATTAAAAAAGGTAGAGATGTTTTGTATAATCATTCGTAGTTATTTCATTTTATTCAGGTGATTTATATGAGATTTTAATTATCATTAGTTAGATTATTGTTAAACACAAATTTTCTTTATATCTGAATTTGGACCAGTGTATTTGAAGAAACATAAGCAGACTCTATTAGCACCTAAAAATGTTGGTCTCTATTCTCCTCCGTTTTCATGTAGACAAAAGTGGTCATTTCAGGCGTGAAAAATTGAAACCTACACTTCAATCCATAATTTTCTTTTCTGTGGAAGACTCCAGCTTTGGCCGTCTCTTTAGCCGCTTTATTGTTGATTGTAATGAAACATATTCGACCTATCCAAGTAATCTTTATGGCGGCAGTAGAAGCTGTCTTTCCTTTCATTTACATGTCTTAAAAAGTTATACCCCACTACAACTTCAACCCACCGCAGATATATAAACGGACGAGAATTCAAGTGATCACTTTCACGCTTATTTTGATCAATCAACAACACTATATGATTGGACATTCTCACATGAAAAACACTTACTCGTCCTTAGTTTTTAAAAATTGCAAGTTATTTAACAATAAGAATCATCATAAGTTAAAAGTGAGAATCTTTAACTATAATTAAGTGGTAAAAGCTTATATGTAAGATGTCATATGCCTTGCGTGTCAATATAATTTATTTTGTGTATATCGAGCGTGAGTAAGTTTTTTTCTTGTCTGGTTCAATTTACTCGCAACCAATAAGTAGATATGAACCTCTGTGATGCCCATGACGCAGGATAGGCCAATGAGGGCGGGAGGATGACTAGCTAGTAAGCTTCTAGGTTGGCAAGCTTTTGAATAAGGGGTACACAAGTCACCTTAGGCGAATGCCATATTGAAATGGGAGAGGAAAGTGAAGAGCTTTATAAGGCACAACATAAGTTCACATGATATGCGCTCTTTTGGGCTCGATGATAGCGTCGCCCAAGTGACAAATCAGTGAGGTCTTTTGGGCCAAAGCATACAGTACGTGCCACGGACTTGGGTCGTGACAAATATGGTATTAGAGGTTGACTCTCCCTCAGTACGGTGGTGGGACAAACTTCAATGAGAATGTTGAGCCCCAAGGGGGGTGAATGTGATGCACATGACGGAGGGCGGTGCGATGAGGGTCAGTCAAGCAGGAATGACATGCTTCTAGGTTGACAAGCTTCTGAAGAAGGAATGCACAATTCACCTTAGAAAAATCCTACATCAGGATAAGAGAGAAAAATGAAGAGATTTATAAGGCACGACCCTCTGAATAAGGGGTGCACAAATCACCTTAGCCCAATCTCACATCAGAATGGAAGATGAAAGTAACTAACTTTATAAGGCTACAACATAAATTCATATGATACACACTCTTTTGGGTTCGATAATGGTGTAGACCAAGTGATAGATCCGTCAAAACTATTGGGCCAAACCAATTACGTGCCATGAACTTGGATCGTGATACTTGCATTAACTTTATGTATGGTTCTTCCGCCAACAAATAAGGAGAAGATGAGCCTTCATGGCTTTTTACAATGTTGAAATTAAGAAAATGTCTTTTTTAGATTTTTATTTTGTATAAAAATAAATCTCTCGTGTGTAAAAAAAAAAAGAGAGGCGATAAAACGAGTTTATAATGGCCCTCAAAATCATTTGACCCCAAAATAAGCTAACGAGATAAGGACACAAAACACGATCAATCAATTAACAGAAAAGGGATGGCATAAAACCTTGCACAATCAAAGCTTCTCAATCGCTATCAGACTTGAGGAAAATTTTCTCCCCCAAAATCTTAGATCAATAATTTCCCAACGTTAAAATATAGCCAATCATCACACTAGCCACGTATAATTAACAACCAGCTAGTAGTAATAGGCAATTAGTAACAATATTGTCAACTCTTCAATGACGAGAAAACCTCTCTTTTCTCGTTGGTTCCATAGCGTGACATTCCTTGCATGCAGATATAAACTTCCTGAAAAAACTTCGAAAAAACCAAAACCTTACTTTTCTCTTACCATTTTTCTTGTTCTGTTTCCTTGACTTGAATTCTTTGTGTCCTTTGGTAGTACTCTCTTTCTTAGATCCAGAAACAACTTGTCGCTTTTTCTTCATAACTGGCGCTGGTGTCACAATAAACTGCAACTTTTGTGAAACACCAGTATGCAGAGTACTCGACGAGTTCATATACATAGTAAAAGCTGATTTTTTCCCTTGACCAATTAGTTTGCGTTCAGAGGCTTCACTTATGCTAGTTCTTGCACTGCTACTGCAGCTACTTCTACTGTTTGTGCTATTGCTGCGCGAAGACAAGAGGGAATCTTTGCTACTGACACTGCTTGTTCTGCTCGTCGAACGTGAAAATGATATTGGACTGCTAATGTTACTAGCCGGTTGACATGGGAAATAATGTGGCAAGAGTTTACCATTGAAAAATAAATGATCTGCTGGTGATTTTGGAGACCCTGGCGACGCGCTACCAGAAAACTCAAATTCCAATTCTTGTCCTTCTTGAACTGGCATTATGATCGGAAATGAAAATTTGTCCCCTGAACTGTTCTTTCTACGGCGATTTTCCATTGAATTTCCTTGTAATTGTGTGAAATTGGGTAATGTCTATAGTCAGAAAACAATTAATGCTCTGAGATTTCTGAGATGGTTAACTATTTTTATAGTAATACAAAAAAAGTGTTTAATATCAACAAGGTATAAGGAGTTGGCCTTTTCCCCCTAAAGAGGGGATAAATGGACCCCTTGTTTGGGACTTCCTAGTGAAGCTTAGTGGTCTATATCATGTGATATTTTTAGTACTTTAAGCTGCCAACTCTTGCTTGGATTTAGTTATGTGGATAAGTAATCATAGTGGGAGCGTGTAGATTATACCAATTACTTGTGTGTCTAATTATGTCGTTATGTAATATAATTCCTTGTTTACTGCCACTATTAGTTTGATGCAGATCATATAATCAAGATAAATGACCTATGCCTTAAAAGTCAAAGAAAAGAGATTGTGATTTACTATCTACTCTACTCCTAGTTGAGGATTCAATAAATTTCTTCGCTTCTCAAGATTTCGACAGTTAGAGATATTCCTTTTCATGGCAAAAGAAGAAGACGAAAAATTAGAATCATGCTCTATGGCAGATAACTTGTTGGGGACCAAATTACATTAAATGTTTTACAAATTTAATACTCTATCATTCTATCAATTAGCAAAATTTAAGTTAGCAATTATTGGATTTAATTTAATATACTAACAATGTAAAATGCTTTTAGACGATCAATTTAACTTAATGTGTCATCAACATGTTGGTTGCTATGTTTCCCCATAATACTAATTCTACTTATTCGTAGGAAGTTATCTATAGTTATTTTTTTCGACGATCTATTGAACTCCAAATGAGTAGGCTAAATTAGTCACAATTATTTAACCTTAAGATGGACCAAGTATTATATTAATAGTGGCGAAGTTATCTTAGGCTAAGGGGTTATACTGTATAGCTAAGTAAAAAAATTTATTTTTATGCATATATACTATTATATTGAACTCCCTTAACTTGTTCATGTTTTTTTTTTTGTTATAAATATTTTTACACCCTTAATGAAAATTTAGCTACTGATTTTCTCTTTCAAAGAATAATCTCCAATTGAGACACTAACTTTATGCTATTGCTTTTGTTACCCTATACCTGAAAGAAAAAGAAGAGACTATGAGAAAACTTTCAAGTAAAGTAAAAGAGGATTTTAAGCAAAGCAGATGACCAAGAGAGAAAATAAACAAAGAGGGGACCCAAAGAACTCAAGTGATAACATATTGGGGATGTCTTAGAATCCCAAGACAATACAATGATGAGTTCAACATTGCTCTCTTTGATTAATGAAGCAAAAGCAAATATACTGACGACTTCCACTTGGATTATTGCATTAAAAATCCCTAACCAAGAGACAATAAAAGCTCTTTGAAATTTCAATGTCTCCCACTTGGATTGCTTTTGGATGATCCCTTTTTGGGGGCCCAATTGTGCCTCATGCCTTCTTTTGGGACCACCAGTGTGCCACCTTGTCCAGTAATTTGGTTTGGGCCTATGAATATTTAATACAATTGGATCTGGGCCTTTGACTGTGCTTCAGTCTTCGTGGTACGGCTACTTTTGAAGGTGTTTGGGTCAGAATTTCAACCTTTGACCTGGATTGGAGCCCACTAATTAAAGGTACTTCAAATGGCTATATATATTTATAGGGACTACTTCTTTTCCAATCTATATTTATATACTTCAAATATTTTAATTGTGTTATAAAATATAACTCAAAGTAACAATATGAAACAAGAAAAAACAAGCTAAGAGATATATGGAGAAAGAGAGAAGAGATTCTTATTTCTTCTTCAATTGTGTGTATTTTTCTATCTATTACAAGGCCTTTATATAGGCATGAAAAGTGAAGAAAATATATCATTGAATATGTCATTAAACATAAAAAAAATATCATTGAATATGTCATTAAGCATTTGAGATGAAGATCATGGAGGAAGAGTAGACATCCACCATAATTTGATATTTGTTATAACACCTCCCTTGGATGTCTATAGATAACGTGCCTCGTTAAAACCTTATTAGAAAAAAAAAATTCTAGTGAAGGAAAAAGAGTACACATGTTTAGGAATACGTTTTTGGTTGCCTCATTAAAAACTTTGCAAGGAAAACCCAGTGGGACAAAACCTTGTGAGGGAAAAAGAGTATACCGCGTATTAACTCCCCATAATGAAAGCATCAATTCACATCCTTGAGCTTTCGCATCCCAATCTTGTACACTAATTTCTTGAAGGTTGACGTCGATAGAGATTTGGTGAACAAATCAGCCATATTATCATATGAACGGATCTGTTGCACACTGATATCACCATTCTTTTGAAGATCATGTGTGAAAAATAACTTTGGTGAAATATGCTTTATTTTATCTCCTTTTATGAATCCCCCCTTCAATTGAGCTATGCATGCTGCATTATCTTCATACAAATTTGTGGGTAGTTTGTCACACTTCAAACCACATTTGTCTCGAATAAGGTGTATTACAGACCTCAACCATACATGTTCTCGACTTGCTTCATGAATAGCAATTATCTCAGCATGATTAGATGAAGTAGCCACGATTGATTGCTTAGTCGATCGCCAAGATATTGTAGTGCTTCCACATGTAAAAATATATCCTGTTTGAGATCGAGCCTTGTGTGGGTCAGATAAATACCCAGTATCGGCATAACCAACAAGATCGGGACTACAATCATTTCCATAAAATAAGCCCATATCGGTAGTCCCTTTTAGATATCGCAATACGTGTTTGATTCTATTTCAATGTCTCCTTGTAGGAGCAGAGCTATATCTTGCTAAGACATTAACTGAAAAAGTTATGTCAGACCTTGTAGTGTTAGCAAGATACATTAGTGCACCAATTGCACTAAGATATGGTACTTCAGGACCAAAAAGCTCTTCATTCTTTTCTTGAGGTCGGAACGGGTCCTAATTTACATCAAGTGATCGAACAACCATCAGAGTACTTAATGGATGTGCTCCATCCATGTAAAACCGTTTCAATACCTTTTCTATGTAGGCAGATTGATGAACAAAAATCCCGTTTGCCAAATGTTCAATTTGCAAACCGAGACATAATATTTTCTTTCCGAGATCTTTCATCTCGAATTCCTTCTTTAAATAATCAATTGCCTTTTGGAGTTTTGCAGGAGTTCCAATAAGGCTTTTGTCATCAACATATACGGCAAGTACAACAAACTCCGATGTTGTTTTCTTTATAAAAATACATTGGACAAATGGAATCATTTATATAACTTTCTTTTAATAAATATTCACTAAGGCGGTTATACCACATTCTTCCTGATTGCTTTAGACCATACTAAGATCATTGCAATTTGATTGAAAATATTTCCATGGACTTTGAATTATATGCGTCAGATATTTTAAATCCCTCGGGAATTTTCATGTATATCTCATTATCAAGTGAGCTGTAAAGGTAGGCGGTAACCACATCCATTAAATGCATCTCAAGCTTTTCATTGACAACAAGACTAATGAGATAACGGAACATTATAACATCCATAACAGGGGAATATGTCTCTTCATAATCGACACCAGGCCTTTGTGAAAATCCTTGTACAACAAGGCATGCCTTATATCTTTGTATCTCATTTTTCTCATTCCTTTTACGTACAAAGATCCATTTATAGCTAACAGGTTTAACACCATTAGGTGTTTAGACTACAGACCCAAAAATTCCACGTTTCGCAAGTGAATCTAACTCAGATTGGATTGTTTCTTGCTATTTTGGCCAATCACGTCTTTGTCGATATTTTTCAATGGATTGAGGTTCAAGATCCTCATTATCTTGCATAATGCTAGATGCAACATTGTATGCAAAGACATAATCCACAACTATATTCAATCGATTCAAATCTGTCTCAATATCGATTGGGTTTATTGATAGTTCCTTATTTTCTTTAGTCTCAGGCTCATTGATTTCCTCATAAATTTCAGGATTGGTTAAATCGTGGGTTTCTTTATGAGACTCATTCGTAGTGTCATCTTGATCATTTATTTTTTTTTCTAGGATTTCGATCCTTAGAACCTAACGGTTTGCCACACTTTAGGCGTGCTTTTGACTCATTAGCTATGACACTAGAAGATTGTCCAACAGGGACATCAATACAGATTGGAACATTCTCTGTAGGGATATGTGATTTCGTTATCCTTTTCAGATCCGTAAATGCATATGCATTTGATTTGCTATTTTCTGCAAATGTATAATCTTTCGCACCTATTTTTTACAAATAGAGGCATGCGGATCAAGATGAGATAATGATGTATTTTTTCACAAAAATTCACGCTTGGTTTCACCAATTTATCCCCCTAATTTTGGGGAAAATGCCTCATCGAACCGACAATCTGCAAATCGAGCAATGAACAAATCTCCTATTAATATTTCAAGGTAGAGAATAATGGAGGATGATTCAAACCCAACATATATTCCTAACCTTCTTTGGGGACCCATCTTGGTGCGATATGGCGGTGCTACAGGCACATATACAGCGCATCCAAAAATTCTTAGATGGGATATATTAGGTTCATAACCCAAAACTAATTGCAACGGGGAATATTTATGATAATTTGTCGGTCTGAGACGAATTAGCATTGCTGCATGCAAAATGGCATGACCCCAAATAGAGGTGGGTAATTTCGTTTTCATGAGTAACGATATTGCTATCAATTGCAGACGTTTAATCAAAGACTCTGCAAGATCATTTTGAGTGTGAACATGAGCTACATGATGTTCCACTTTTATCCCAATTGATAAGCAATAATCATTAAATGCTTGGGACGAAAACTCAGCAGCATTATCAAGTCGAATAGACTTAATTGGATTATCGGGAAACTGTGCCCGTAATCGAATTATTTGTGCCATTAATTTTGCAAATGCAAGGTTGCGAGATGACAATAGGCACACATGAGACCATCTAGAAGATGCGTCTATTAAGATCATAAAATACCTAAACGACCCACTAGGTGGGTGTATAGGTCCACAAATATCCCCTTGTATACGTTCCAAAAATGCAGGGGACTCAATCCTAACCTTTGTTGGTAATGGTCTAATAATTAACTTGCCTTGATAACAAGAAGTGCAAGAAAATTCATTATTTAAAAGAAT